TATAGACTCACTACAGAATAGTGTACTGTAGACTCACTACAGAATAGTCTACTTTAGATTCACTACTGAATAGTGTACTGTAGACTCACTACAGAATAGTGTACTGTAGACTCACTTCAGAATAGTGTACTGTAGACTCACTTCAGAATAGTGTACTGTAGACTCACTTCAGAATAGTGTACTGTAGACTCACTACAGAATAGTGTACTGTAGACTTCTTACAGAATAGTGTACTGTAGACTCACTACAGAATAGTGTACTGTAGATTCACTACAGAATAGTGTGCTGTAGACTCACTACAGAATAGTCTACTTTAGATTCACTACTGAATAGTGTACTGTAGACTCACTACAGAATAGTGTACTATAGACTCACTTCAGAATAGTGTACTGTAGACTCAATACAGAATAGTGTACTATAGACTCACTACAGAATAGTGTACTGTAGACTCACTACAGAATAGTGTACTGTAGACTTCTTACAGAATAGTGTACTGTAGACATACTACAGAATAGTGTACTGTAGACTTCTTACAGAATAGTGTACTGTAGACTCACTACAGAATAGTGTACTGTAGACTCACTACAGAATAGTGTACTGCAGACTCACTACAGAATAGTGTACTGTAGACTCACTACAGAATAGTGTACTGTAGATTCACTACAGAATAGTGTACTGTAGACTCACTACAGAATAGTGTACTGTATATTCACTACAGAATAGTGTGCTGTAGACTCACTACAGAATAGTCTACTTTAGATTCACTACTGAATAGTGTACTGTAGACTCACTACAGAATAGTGTACTATAGACTCACTTCAGAATAGTTTACTGTAGACTCAATACAGAATAGTGTACTATAGACTCACTTCAGAATAGTGTACTGTAGACTCACTACAGAATAGTGTACTGCAGACTCACTACAGAATAGTGTACTGTAGACTCACTACAGAATAGTGTACTGTAGATTCACTACAGAATAGTGTACTGTAGACTCACTACAGAATAGTGTACTGTAGATTCACTACAGAATAGTGTGCTGTAGACTCACTACAGAATAGTCTACTTTAGATTCACTACTGAATAGTGTACTGTAGACTCACTACAGAATAGTGTACTATAGACTCACTTCAGAATAGTTTACTGTAGACTCAATACAGAATAGTGTACTATAGACTCACTTCAGAATAGTGTACTGTAGACTCACTACAGAATAGTGTACTGTAGACTTCTTACAGAATAGTGTACTGTAGACATACTACAGAATAGTGTACTGTAGACTTCTTACAGAATAGTGTACTGTAGACTCACTACAGAATAGTGTACTGTAGACTCACTACAGAATAGTGTACTGCAGACTCACTACAGAATAGTGTACTGTAGACTCACTACAGAATAGTGTACTGTAGATTCACTACAGAATAGTGTACTGTAGACTCACTTCAGAATAGTTTACTGTAGACTCACTACAGAATAGTGTACTGTAGATTCACTACAGAATAGTGTACTGTAGACTCACTACAGAATAGTGTACTGTAGATTCACTACAGAATAGTGTGCTGTAGATTCACTACAGAATAGTCTACTTTAGATTCACTACAGAATAGTGTACTGTAGACTCACTTCAGAATAGTTTACTGTAGACTCACTACAGAATAGTCTACTTTAGATTCACTACTGAATAGTGTACTGTAGACTCACTACAGAATAGTGTACTATAGACTCACTTCAGAATAGTTTACTGTAGACTCACTACAGAATAGTGTACTGTAGACTTCTTACAGAATAGTGTACTGTAGACTCACTACTGAATAGTGTACTATAGACTCACTACAGAATAGTGTACTGTAGACTTCTTACAGAATAGTGTACTGTAGACATACTACAGAATAGTGTACTGTAGACTTCTTACAGAATAGTGTACTGTAGACTCACTACAGAATAGTGTACTGTAGACTCACTACAGAATAGTGTACTGCAGACTCACTACAGAATAGTGTACTCTAGACTGTTTACTGTAGACATACTACAGAATAGTGTAATGTAGACTCACTACAGAATAGTGTACTGTAGACTCACTACAGAATAGTGTACTATAGACTCACTACAGAATAGTGTACTGTAGACTCACTACAGAATAGTGTACTGTAGACTTCTTACAGAATAGTGTACTGTAGACTTACTACAGAATAGTGTACTGTAGATTCACTACTGAATAGTGTACTGTAGATTCACTACTGAATAGTGTACTGTAGACTCACTACAGAATAGTGTACTGTAGACTCACTACAGAATAGTGTACTATAGACTCACTACAGAATAGTCTACTGTAGATTCACTACTGAATAGTGTACTGTAGACTTACTACAGAATAGTGTACTGTAGACTCACTACAGAATAGTCTACTGTAGACTCACTACAGAATATTATAATGTAGGGTCAACTCGTATGCAGCTATCATGGATTCTGAAAGTTAAAATTATTATCGCTATTTCTTGTGAAACATTTCATGGATCATTGAACATTTACAAATATAGGTTTGTCATTGTTGTTTATGCTCAAATTTTGGACTGACAGAAAAACAAAATTGCTGAAAAGAACAATTAAGGAGAGAAGAAAAGGAAAAACTCACAACTTCCAAAGAATAAATAAAAGCAGTACATTGATGGGTACTCAATCCCTCTAGGATCTCTTGTTACTAATTTCAACCTTAAACGTTCTTAGGATGGAGTGTCATATTGGGTATAACTAAATTGGCCTTGTGATGGATTGGACAGGGCCAAATTAGTACAAATTTCCTGTAAATGTTGGTTTGATGATCAAGTTTATTGAAAGCAATTCTTTCTACTCACAATATATGCTTCATGTATATTCAGATTTGGTAACTGTACTTTGATACTAAGGCAAATAGGTATTGAGATAGTAAATAAGTGTAGTTAATGTGTGGCTTGTGATATAGAGACAGGATATAAATGTGAAGGGGAGGGCCAGCCAGCTCTGAAGTCAGCCTTATAGAGATTACTGTACTGTAAGTAACAGGCATTAGTAAGCAGGCATCATTAGAATACTAAACGTTTAATTGGATATCACCTTTGACGAGGGACCAGTGATAGATAGACAGCGTAAATCCATCTATCTTAATTGGATAGATGTTGACGGCATTGAGCAGGAGTTAGAGGATTATACAATAAACTACTGATGGTTTCTGTCACTGTGATGCTAGATAGGATTCAACTCTATGTAATAATATATTCATCAGACTTCTCCTAAGTCTTATCATTTCTAGAAAAAGTTAAAAGGCAACTGATTGATAACAGAGCAGTTGAATTAATGTGTGGCTTGTTGTGCGATATTGGTCATTAACATGGCTCCCTAGTCGGTAATAGCGCCTGATTTCACACCTCAACAAGTCTCATGTAGATCAGTAGAAATTGGAATTAGTCTTTTCTCATAATTGAGTAGAAGGTTTGACATTGTATGACCCGTCTGGGTTCCTACACTGATATTGTGTCTCAACATCAGACGCTTGACAAAGTATCTATTAAGAATTCTCCAGACATCTGAACTTAAGCACTGCTAAGAAAAACAACAACAAATACAGTTCATTTTCTACAAACTGGAATTTCAGTAAGCAGAATATATGTGATCTTGTGTCCGGAATCAAGAGATCTCTATTGAAACTGTGTAAATATTCCTGTTGGTTTAACTCTGAACATCTCTACTTGACATTTCATCTCGAAATATTCAGCTTCTATCTTTTTAAAGATTTGAAGAGGATATAGAATATAAAGTAAGGTTGATCTTCCTTTTTCAATAAACCAAAATTGTACCCATCATTAAGTTCAATAGACAATAAGTCTCCAGGGAGATTTGTGTGTTTACATTGGTGTCTGCATAACTGTAGATGGGAGATTATCCTGTTTTTAATTCCTGACTGTCTCGACAGGTTTTGAGAACTTTACAGTACAGGACAGATATTATGGTGTCGTTCTGCTATTTGTTTTAGTGATGCTCCAGGTAGTTACCATTTTATCATTGATAACATACAAAAAGGAGTGGGTCAACAAGGTAGCTTTTAACTTACAAAAGTTTGTCTTTGAGGTCCTCTTATTCACACGTTTGAACATGTGCTGGATTTGACCTTTAAGATTCTATAGATGTTTCAGAACCATTCTTCACGGCTCTACTTCTTAATGCTTCTCTATATCATAATTCCACAATAGTAATCAGTGCATATGGACTGAAACATCAAGTCAGTATTCTTTTCTAATGCAGATTCACACTTTTCTTTGATGGTGAGTTCTTTGAAGAAGAAATTCTTTCTATATATATGTTTTAATTATCACATTCATCCAATAATTTGAATAGAACCTAAAAACTGGAGCTTGTAATGTGTGGATATTCTGTATGGCATCCAATACAGTTCTTGTATTACAGAAATAATTGCCAACATCAAAGCTGTCGTCGGTTATTTTCCTTCTGTAATTCTTCTGATTTAATGAAATGGTTCAATCTAATGAAGACTCTGTTTACTCATAACTATAGTCTCTTTGTTGTGTTGATTTTGTATGTCTACATATATAGGAATATATATATGATCAATGAAGTAATAGCAACAGTATGGACAAGCGAATAGTCAATATGTTATATATATATATATATATATATATATGTATCAGGGCCCTCGATCTGCCAGATTTGGGGCCGATATTCGGACCCATTCTCAATGCAAAATGGTACCCTAAGTTTTCCCAATTCTAAGGAAAACACTGCTATTTTTCCCAATTCGAAGGGCCCCGAGCCCCGGGCCCCATTCCCAAAATGGGGTGTGAGAGCCCTGTGTATATCAAACACAGTCTCAATTTTGACAGGAAATACAAATCTGACACCTTCAGATCAACTTACATGACTACATGATGCATGTTTGTTCCACAGTATATAGATGTTTGGTGACATATTCTAGAACTCGCTAACTTGTATGTATTTCTTGTTTGTTGCAGGTTGTACCCAAGGATTACAAAACCATGGCAGCATTATCCAAAGCCATCGCCAGAAACGTCCTTTTTTCACATCTAGATGATAATGAACGAAGGTAATCTGCAACTTATCCCTCAACATACAGAATTTCATTGTGATGCTGCTGTATAATGAGCTTGATGAAGGAAAAATATAGATGTATAAACTAGAATGTTGCTTATAATGCTACTAGTATAGAATCACACTGTGAGTTTTGGTAAAATTTCTACTTCAACATAACTGGGTGAATTTAATTGGTGGTGAAAGATTGTACAAAAGATATGTAAGTGAACAGCATCTTTTAATACAAATGAGTGATGAATTAAATATAGTAGTGTCAAAAATGAATTAATTTGCATCACACAACTTTTTCATATGGTAGGTCTTGTCAGTGATACTCAAGGGTCTAAATAGTAAAAATGTAGAAGGCGTCAGAGGAAAGTAAAAAAAAAAAAAAAAAAATGAGAATTGATGGGGAGATGGTGGGCGGTACCCTTGGCTGAACAGTTGGAAAAAATTTCATGTTATTACAAATGAATGATTTTCCAAGGTTGCTTAACTGTCCACTTGAGCAATACAGGTCTCCTGGGTGTCTGATCGGATGATAGAACTCTCTGTGGACTTAAGTCAAAGTATATAATAATTTGAGACTTAATGACTTCAAGTCTGGCCTACCTTTGGATCAGATGTCTTGTTATTTCAGAATTTTGTTGAATCTATTTTATATAACTATATAGTCTGACGTTCCCAAAATATAAATACCAGTGACATCATGTTGTAAGTGATAGAATTGATTTTGTAGCATACTAATACCCACTTTCGTTTTACAGTGATATTTTTGATGCCATGTTTCCAGTCCATCGGCATTCTGGGGAAGTTATTATTCAACAAGGTGAGTAGTAAGGTCACCTCTCACTCATTCCTAATGGAAAGGAATGACGTCTTTCCTCAGTAAAACTACTTAAATCAGGCCCTCGCTAAATATATAGCAACATACCAATTTATTTAGAACAAATAGACTCCAGTTGAAAAGTGGATGCAAGGAAGGGGTAGACATTGATGAGGCTGGATTTATTTCATCATTAGGAAGGATAGAAATGTGCCTGTATTCAATTCACTCAGCAAATTGAATACTGTTAAAGCAAAGCAATCTTCAAATTAATATTTTTATAGGCCTTACACTCGGCATCATTAGGTGTATGGATAGTGTAGTTTGATTGGGGACTTGTTGATGTGAAATGTCGAGATTGTTTTGGTTAAAATCAGCAGACCCAATATGGAATGTGTCTGGGATATATCAGTCATTCAGTCATTTTATGGTGTTGGGATGAGAAATGTTGAAATAATATTGTCCTTTCAAATTTCTGATTCAGGTTTTACCAGGGTAGTCAAACACTGAAAATCTGATTAAAATAGTTTCATACTGGCAATCCACTATATATCTGTATAGCTTAGCTATAATGTACTGACAGTCTGTAAATCTGATTTAAATAAAGAGGGTAGTAGAGCCAACACCGGGTATAATTCGTTAGGTGGTTGGTTGGATTCCTTACCCTCTTCGTCTGGATACCTGGAAGTATGCAGGGTGATTGAAGGAAGAATGAAGATGGAGATACCGCTTGAGCATACGTCATAATTGAATAATTGAAGAAGTCCCCTCATTTTATGTACTTTAGGTACCCAAAATTGCTATTATGTTGTCCTGAAGAAGCCCAATAAAGGGGCGAAACCGGTCGACAATAAATTGATGAACCAAGTCTCTTCGCCTGTTGTGATTAAATACTACGCCCTTCATCTGATTAAAATAGTTTCATACTGACAATCCACTATACATCTATAGATTATCTATAATGTACTGACAGTCTGTAAATCTGATTAAAATAGTTTCATACTGACAATCCACTATTTATCTTTATAGCTTAGCTATAATGTACTGACAGTCTGTAAATCTGATTAAAATAGTTCGAATTGACAATCCACTATACATCTATAGCTTAGCTATAATGTACTGACAGTCTGTAAATCTGATTAAAATAGTTCGAATTGACAATCCACTATACATCTATAGCTTAGCTATAATGTACTGACAGTCTGTAAATCTGATTAAAATAGTTCGAATTGACAATCCACTATACATCTATAGCTTAGCTATAATGTACTGACAGTCTGTAAATCTGATTAAAATAGTTCGAATTGACAATCCACTATACATCTATAGATTAGCTATAGTGTACGGACAGTCTGTAAATCTGATTAAAATAGTTCGTATTGACAATCCACTATACATCTATAGCTTAGCTATAATGTACTGACAGTCTGTAAATCTGATTAAAATAGTTCGAATTGACAATCCACTATACATCTATAGCTTAGCTATAATGTACTGACAGTCTGTAAATCTGATTAAAATAGTTCGAATTGACAATCCACTATACATCTATAGATTAGCTATAGTGTACTGACAATCTGTAAATCTGATTAAAATAGTTCGAATTGACAATCCACTATACATCTATAGCTTAGCTATAATGTACTGACAGTCTGTAAATCTGATTAAAATAGTTCGAATTGACAATCCACTATACATCTATAGCTTAGCTATAGTGTACTGACAATCTGTAAATCTGATTAAAATAGTTCGAATTGACAATCCACTATACATCTATAGCTTAGCTATAATGTACGGACAGTCTGTAAATCTGATTAAAATAGTTTCATACTGGCAATCCACTATATATCTGTATAGCTTAGCTATAATGTACTGACAATCTGTAAATCTGATTAAAATAGTTCGAATTGACAATCCACTATATATCTGTATAGATTAGCTATAATGTACTGACATTCTGTAAATCTGATTAAAATAGTTTCATACTGGCAATCCACTATATATCTGTATAGCTTAGCTATAATGTACTGACAATCTGTAAATCTGATTAAAATAGTTCGAATTGACAATCCACTATATATCTGTATAGATTAGCTATAATGTACTGACAGTCTGTAAATCTGATTAAAATAGTTCGAATTGACAATCCACTATACATCTATAGCTTAGCTATAATGTACGGACAGTCTGTAAATCTGATTAAAATAGTTTCATACTGGCAATCCACTATATATCTGTATAGCTTAGCTATAATGTACTGACAATCTGTAAATCTGATTAAAATAGTTCGAATTGACAATCCACTATATATCTTTATAGCTTAGCTATAATGTACTGACAGTCTGTAAATCTGATTAAAATAGTTTCATACTGACAATCCACTATTTATCTTTATAGCTTAGCTATAATGTACTGACAGTCTGTAAATCTGATTAAAATAGTTTCATACTGGCAATCCACTATATATCTGTATAGATTAGCTATAATGTACTGACAATCTGTAAATCTGATTAACAATTTTTCTCTCAAAATATGTAGATATGATCATAAATAGACGTGACAATATTTACTGATTTTAGGTTGGTAGTGTCTAAACATCTTGGGTTGAGGTACACAAATTGTAGGATTGTCTTTTTAAAATATAGATAAATACCTTGTATAGTGTGATTTGGCACGACTGATGGCAATGTATTTCACAGGTGATGATGGAGATAACTTCTATGTGATAGACCAGGGAGAAGTTGATGTAAGTATAATTAACCTCCGGTTACTAGCATGTCGTCTAAAAAGTACAACATTGTAGTATTGTTGTGTTGCAGTTAAAGACCTTGTGTTGTACAACTGTTGTATACATAGTAGTGTTAGGGTGCTGTTTTACTGTTGTATACATAATTGTAGTATTGTTGTGTTGCAGTTAAAGACCTTGTGTTGTACAACTGTTGTATACATAGTAGTGTTAGGGTGCTGTTTTACTGTTGTATACATAATTGTAGTATTGTTTTGTTGTAGTTAAAGACCTTGTGTTGTACAACTGTTTTATAGTGTTAACAGTTTATTGTTCTTGTTGAAATAGAATACCTCAGAAAGAAAACTTTTTGACAGAAGATAAACAATTGAAAAATTGTGGAATGGCAAAAAATATAAACAAATATGAAGAAAATAGTTGTTTATACCTACAATAACTTGGCAACATCTGAAACATATAGAGGGATGAGCATTCTTGTCCAATTCAGAACATGTGCAACCCCCACTGGTGTCCTGATTTGGGAGAAACAGCTACTTATTAAAGTTTGATTGGAACTGAATTCAGAAACCATTTTATATAAAACAAAAAATCTAGGTTAGAAAAAAATTCAAGTTTGAATAGTGTTTGTAAAAAACTGCATCAGCCAATTTCATTTGATAAACCATGAAATTGACTTAGTACAGGTATTTACATTGAATTAATTCTCACTGACATGTCAGCATTGGCCAATTCCATATTCATAAGGTTGAGGTAGAAACTTCTACTGTGACAGTTGAAGTTTGTTTTTGTTATTATTCCAAAAGTGTTTGAGGACTCTTTATCGATTCAATAACCAAGCCTTCCTTTTCTCCTTAGTTTAGCATGTGTTATTTTATACTTATGTTGATTTGATCATTGAAATTTGATATCATATTCTCTAAAAAAGATTAATTTTTCTTGTGTAATTATTCTATCAGCTGATGTATGTTTTGATTTGAGGCTGATTTAGGAACAAGACAGTTGACAGATTGTGATTTTATTTTTGACATCTGCATGTTGTGATTACACCTAGGGATCTTCTTACATTTGATATATCTCCCTGGATACAGCAGCTGCCGTTGGATTCACTTAATACACTTAACACACTTAATTCACTTGTCAAAGGATAAAAAAGGAAAGATGAATCTCTAAGTCTGTTAAAATCATTCCATTATAGAAACCAAGATCCAATTAAGATCCCTTGTATAACATAAAACATGCTGACATCAATTAGAATGCATGTTAATTACAACAGTTTGGGGTATATCCTTTAACTGAGGTTACGTAGGAGTAATGTCCCCTTTTCAGCTGTTTATATCTGTGTTAGTAGTGTTGTCTTTAGTGTGTCATCATCTAATCCCTATCAGCTTTAACATTGTCAGCTGTGTCTAATGAGTGTGATGGAAGGCTGTTTTAGTGCCATCACTGTTCGATTGCATCTCAACTCTAGGCTCTGTAATTATGTTACTATATATGGATAACCGACAGCACTACAGGAACCATAGGCAGATTATCAAGACAAAACTTTGTAGAAATAGGATTTCCGTGTGTCACTTTCCTCATAGTTTTTTGGCAATTTTTCCCAATTTCCTTCTTAGCTGAAGTTGGTATATATGCCTAACATCCTACTGTCGTATTAGTGAGATCTCAAGTTGTTGCCAGGAGGTAAGATAATAGCATCAGCATGACAGCTGATTAGTTGTCCACTTCTAAGAGCTCCTACAGGCTTGCTACACTAGTCAGAATTCAATTAGACCATATAACATCAAAAAGTCTCCATAGTTTCTATAATGATAGACATTTACAATCTTCAGTCTGCTACATCTTTTTTCATATTACTTTATATCAGGTTTTGACAGATTGTCCTTGTCTCTTTATCTGGAGTAAATTAAACTAATTTCTCATGTTTCTGTTGTGAAAAGGGTCAAATTCAGTGTGCTGCCAAAGACTACTATTTACTGTAGGTGGAAAGTCAATTTCCTGTCTGTTAAAATACCAATATATTTATTGCTTAAAGGTCACATTTACTGTTGGCAGAAAGTCACATTTACTATAAGTGGAAAGTCAGATTTACACTGTTCACATGGGTGAAATATAGAATATACAAGTAGACAGATCTGATACAGGTAAAATATAGAGAATACAAGTAGGCAGATCTGATACAGGTAAAATATAGAGAATACAAGGAGGCAGATCTGATACAGGTAAAATATAGAGAATACAAGGAGGCAGATCTGTTACAGGTAAAATATAGGGATACAAGTAGGCAGATCTGATACAGGTAAAATATAGAGAATACAAGTAGGCAGATCTGTTACAGGTAAAATATAGAGAATACAAGTAGGCAGATCTGATACAGGTAAAATATAGAGAATACAAGGAGGCAGATCTGTTACAGGTAAAATATAGAGAATACAAGTAGGCAGATCTGATACAGGTAAAATATAGAGAATACAAGGAGGCAGATCTGTTACAGGTAAAATATAGAGAATACAAGTAGGCAGATCTGATACAGGTAAAATATAGAGAATACAAGTAGGCAGATCTGATACAGGTAAAATATAGAGAATACAAGGAGGCAGATCTGATACAGGTAAAATATAGGGAACACAACTAGGTAGATATGATATATGTAAAATATAGAGAATACTAGTAGGCAGATCTGTTACAGGTAAAATATAGAGAATACAAGGAGGCAGATCTGTTACAGGTAAAATATAGAGAATACAAGTAGGCAGATCTGATACAGGTAAAATATAGAGAATACAAGTAGGCAGATCTGATACAGGTAAAACATAGAGAATACAAGGAGGCAGATCTGATACAGGTAAAATATAGGGAACACAACTAGGTAGATATGATACAGGTAAAATATAGGGAACACAACTAGGTAGATATGATACAGGTAAAATATAGGGAACACAACTAGGTAGATATGATACAGGTAAAATATAGGGAACACAACTAGGTAGATATGATACAGGTAAAATATAGGGAACACAACTAGGTAGATATGATATATGTAAAATATAGAGAATACTAGTAGACAGATCTGTTACTGGTAAAAGATAGGAAATATGAGTAGGCAGATCTGTTACTGGTAAAAGATAGGAAATATGAGTAGGCAGATCTGTTACTGGTAAAAGATAGGAAATATGAGTAGGCAGATCTGACTAAGAATAAAGTTTGTACAAAGATAGAACTTGACAGATCTGGCACAAGTAAACATTTTGGAAACATTAATAGGTGCAAATCTGACACATGTAAAAAAAAAAGAAAAGCTATTAGGCAATCTGATGGTGGTCTTGAGAATGACACCATGTTATGTTTTATCCATTAATGAGTTCCCTGACAATACAGATTTACAGACCTACATTATTTGTTTAGTGTAGTGGACATATCCCAACTTGCAACTGATAGTTTGGTAAATCAGATAAGGTCAAGTAATTGATCAAGGATCAGATGAATTGGGAATGGCCAAATGGATGACCAATCTGTCTGACCAATCTGTCTGACACCTAATTACAGTGTTCCCCACTACTGTTCCTCAACATCTAGCAGTCTGCCTTCACCAAGTATGTTTGATTTTTTATGCTCTCCAAAGCATGTAGTCACCACTTTGTCCCTCTATCTGTCTGTCATTCTGTCCATCCATGCATACATCCATCCATCTGTTCGTGTGTCGGTCCATCCATCTGTCTGTCCCTCATAATTTTGTCTGGAGCAGAACAGTAATTTATAAGAGATATTAACACAAAACCTCATAGGTAGATAGATCTCAACAAGAAGTGCAGTGCACCAGAACCATCACTCTTTTTTTGCATAATTCAGGAGTTAATTTCCTTTGTTATATTTCAAACTTAAATTTTGTCCGGAGCATTAGCTGCATTACACTAAAATTATAAGAGGTATTCTCATGAAACTTCATAAGTAGATAGATCTCAATAAGGAAAAGTATACAGCACAAGAACCATCACTCTTTTTTGCATAATTTAGGAGTTATTGCCCTTTATTGTTTTTCATTATTAAATGTTTTTCAGGATCTTTACTCTATAAGAGGTACTAACATGAAACTTTCGAGGTAGAGAGGTCTCAATGAGCAGAAGGGCAGTGCACAAGAATCATAACTCTCTTATTGCCCTTTGTTATTTTACATACTTAAATTTTGTCCAATTGGTGGAGCATAACCCGTATCTGTTGCCTTCCATTGAAAGAGTCAGTATTTATACCCCCCCGCAACGAAGTTAGAGGGGGGGGGGGTATACTGGAATCAGGTTGTCCGTCTGTCCGTCCGTCTGTCTGTCTAGGCGTCTAGCCGTCCGTCCGTCTGTCTGTAGACACATTTTGTCCGGCTAACCCCTCCTAAACCTGTGAACCGATTTTGATGAAACTTTACAGGAATATTAAGGATCATGTGTAGATATGCATGCCCCTTTCTTTTTTTGAAAATTTTGGTTGCCATGGTAACTGGTCACTATAAACAAGTAACTCCTCAGTTATTTGATGGATTGTATTCAGACTTAGTAAAAAGATGTAATTCAGTAAGGCCAATAATTGGAAATATTAGACGTTTCCCAAACTGTTACTGCGGAAACACAATCCTGGCCTCTGATTGGTCAAAATTTAGATATTGTCCAATTTTGACCAAATTTGATATATAGGGTTATTAGGGGATGCCAAACATTATAAAATAGGTTTCGTTGCGATGACAAACATGAGTGTTTAGTGTAGATCAAGAACATAACGGCAGACATTTTTTTGTCTCTGTGGCCCTTCAGTGGAAAATATTACTTCAATAAAGATGTAAGTATTGCAAGACTCTCTTGATCATGAACAACATGTATTCCACCCCTTCTGATTTCCAGAAATGCAGGCACATGCAGAATATGTCAATTACTCTCAGAATAACACTTTAATTTATCCATTGACTCGTTGCAGTGTGCAGGGGGTATTGGTCAGCCATCTAGGCGACAGTTCTAGTTAGAAAATGATATCAAAAGTGTCATATTTTAGATGTTTATATAAAAATGAATATCACTTGCCTTTTCTTAAATATTTAACATTGATTTCTTTCCAGATTTTTGTTAACAATGAACATGTCACTACAATAGGTGAAGGTGGAAGTTTTGGAGAATTGGCACTGATATATGGAACACCTAGAGCTGCTACAGTCAAGGTAAGGGGACTGGTCACAGATCTACATGTACATTATAGCTCATTCTTATCATAAGCTGCATTTAAAATGTCATCTTCATATAAATTACGCAAGTGAAAAGATGGAAAGATGTTTAGATGATTGTGAAAAATCATATGTTGATGCACAATAGCTAAATATGTTTTTTTATGACCCAGGCTAAAGGAGATGTGAAACTTTGGGGGATAGACAGAGACAGTTATAGAAGAATTCTTATGGTAAGTATATTTCTGAGATACAAGCCAATGTTGTTAGATCCTTTTACACACAACACCTTGAGTGATGGATTCAGGGATATCATACAGATGTGATACAGACTTACAACAAACAAAACAAACCACCTTAGTGTTGTTACTCCACACTGTACAAAACAAAACAAACCACCTTAGTGTTGTTACTCCACACTGTACAAAACAAACAACCTTAGTGTTGTTACTCCACACTGTACAAAACAAAACAAACCACCTTAGTGTTGTTACTCCACACTGTACAAAACAAAACAAACCACCTTAGTGTTGTTACTCCACACTGTACAAAACAAAACAAACCACCTTAGTGTTGTTACTCCACACTGTACAAAACAAAACAAACCACCTTAGTGTTGTTACTCCACACTGTACAAAACAAACCACCTTAGTGTTGTTACTCCACACTGTACAAAACAAAACAAACCACCTTAGTGTTGTTACTCCACACTGTACAAAACAAAACAAACCACCTTAGTGTTGTTACTCCACACTGTACAAAACAAAACAAACCACCTTAGTGTTGTTACTCCACACTGTACAAAACAAAACAAACCACCTTAGTGTTGTTACTCCACACTGTACAAAACAAAACAAACCACCTTAGTGTTGTTACTCAACACTGTACAAAACAAAACAAACCACCTTAGTGTTGTTACTCCACACTGTACAAAACAAACCACCTTAGTGTTGTTAACTCCACACTGTACAAAACAAAACAAACCACCTTAGTGTTGTTACTCCACACTGTACAAAACAAAACAAACCACCTTAGTGTTGTTACTCCACACTGTACAAAACAAAACAAACCACCTTAGTGTTGTTACTCCACACTGTACAAAACAAAACAAACCACCTTAGTGTTGTTACTCCACACTGTACAAAACAAAACAAACCACCTTAGTATTGTTACTCCACACTGTACAAAACAAAACAAACCACCTTAGTATTGTTACTCCACACTGTACAAAACAAAACAAACCACCTTAGTATTGTTACTCCACACTGTACAAAACAAAACAAACCACCTTAGTGTTGTTACTCCACACTGTACAAAACAAAACAAACCACCTTAGTGTTGTTACTCCACACTGTACAAAACAAAACAAACCACCTTAGTGTTGTTACTCCACACTGTACAAAACAAAACAAACCACCTTAGTGTTGTTACTCCACACTGTACAAAACAAAACAAACCACCTTAGTGTTGTTACTCCACACTGTACAAAACAAAACAAACCACCTTAGTGTTGTTACTCCACACTGTACAAAACAAAACAAACCACCTTAGTGTTGTTACTCCACACTGTACAAAACAAAACAAACCACCTTAGTGTTGTTACTCCACACTGTACAAAACAAAACAAACCACCTTAGTGTTGTTACTCCACACTGTACAAAACAAAACAAACCACCTTAGTGTTGTTACTCCACACTGTACAAAACAAAACAAACCACCTTAGTGTTGTTACTCCACACTGTACAAAACAAAACAAACCACCTTAGTGTTGTTACTCCACACTGTACAAAACAAAACAAACCACCTTAGTGTTGTTACTCCACACTGTACAAAACAAACCACCTTAGTGTTGTTACTCCACACTGTACAAAACAAAACAAACCACCTTAGTGTTGTTACTCCACACTGTACAAAACAAAACAAACCACCTTAGTGTTGTTACTCCACACTTAAATGATAGATCTTGGTGTTTGGATTGTATTACACTACTGTACTAAAGAAATAGCCTGTGTAGCAAAAACCTGTGTATGCAGGATTTCATTTGAAATACATGTCATGTCTCGTTGAGAATCTGGGATGTAAGACGTTAATTTGAAGCCAAAATGTCTGGCCACAAAAGCACTGTTGTATTGTAATTCAGGTTTCCAGTTTTAAAATATTGGAATTGATAGGTTCTCGATTAGTAAATGGGTGTCTTTCTTTCCTTAATCAGTCTGTTTGAATTTAATTCAGGTTAGAAATTTACCAGCTTAAGTAGATTTGTCTGAAGTTGATGCCAGTGTTTTAGTGAACCATGATCAAAGTTAAATGGAACCAGGGGAATATTCTATCATCATAAAACAGTCTGCCTGCATGTAAACATTTGTATTTTGGTTCATTTCGGTGTTTTTGTTTCGCCTGAGTGTCAGCCCTACATTTCAGTCCTTAACTTCCCTCTTTGTTACTATGGTACAGTTATCTTATTCTATCTCAGATTCTGTACAGGTAGATGATCATACATTCTGTACAGGTAGATGATCATACATTCATTCTGTACAGGTAGATGATCATACATTTTGTACAGGTAGATGATCATACATTCTGTACAGGTAGATGATCATACATTCATTCTGTACAGGTAGATGATCATACATTCATTCTGTACAGGTAGATGATCATACATTCTGTACAGGTAGATGATCATACATTCTGTACAGGTAGATGATCATACATTCTGTACAGGTAGATGATCATACATTCTGTACAGGTAGATGATCATACATTCTGTACAGGTAGATGATCATACATTCTGTAGTACAGGTAGATGATCATACATTCATTCTGTACAGGTAGATGATCATACATTCTGTACAGGTAGATGATCATACATTCTGTACAGGTAGATGATCATACCTTCTGTACAGGTAGATGATCATACATTCATTCTGTAGAGGTAGATGATCATACATTCTGTACAGGTAGATGATCATACATTCATTCTGTACAGGTAGATGATCATACATTCTGTACAGGTAGATGATCATACATTCTGTACAGGTAGATGATCATACATTCTGTACAGGTAGATGATCATACATTCATTCTGTACAGGTAGATGATCATACATTCTGTACCGGTAGATGATCATACATTCTGTACAGGTAGATGATCATACATTCATTCTGTACAGGTAGATGATCATACATTCTGTACAGGTAGATGATCATACATTCTGTACAGGTAGATGATCATACCTTCTGTACAGGTAGATGATCATACATTCATTCTGTACAGGTAGATGATCATACATTCTGTACAGGTAGATGATCATACATTCATTCTGTACAGGTAGATGATCATACATTCTGTACAGGTAGATGATTATACATTCTGTACCGGTAGATGATCATACCTTCTGTACAGGTAGATGATCATACATTCATTCTGTACAGGTAGATGATCATACAGTCACACTGACCTGAAAAAATAAGTATGTTGTTAAATTTAAAGGTATCCCAAATACACATTATGGTTTTGCTGAAATTCATTTATAGTTGAAAGATATATTCATATTGAATATACAGACTGCTTTTTTTTAGATTGAGAAGGAAAAACTTAGATTATGGCAAATCGTTTTGGATAGATATGTTTCGTGACGGTTGTACTTTCTTACACTTTATTGTGTCTAAATATGGCAACCTGTATTCTATCTCATCTAGAACTTTGCTGAAGACCCAGTACATAGGAAAGCTCTAGATTGCACTTTATGCCTTGTCACACCAATTTCTATTGTGGTAGAAGAAAAAAAAATTGTTTAATTGAAGAGCTCAATCTCACACCTAGACAGGTTGATTATCTGATATTATTTAGAGTCTCAAGAGAATAAACAATTCGATACAGAGGTAAACCTTTTATAGAAGTCTGTACAATATTGCTGCATCATTTAACAGCTGATTTGAGGCATTAAGTTACATTAATTACATGATCACTGGCAAAAATAGTTGGTTTCTGAAGATTTCTCGATTTTAGAGACTGAAGCTTGTTGTTCATCTAAAACATGTTCTCCTGTTTTACTTATCTGCATATAATGGTCCAGTAAAGTAATTATGTAACTGGGCAGACTAGAGATAATTTTTACAGTTGTAAAGGTAAGAACTAAAACTTGATGGTCAAAGTGAAGTTCAGACATGTGGTCTAAAAGGTTAAGTGACAGGTCGTACATGACATTTAAATTTTCACAATCCTGCAGATTTCTGATTAGCTAGTAATGTTTATATTTTCAGGGAAGTACAATAAGGAAGAGGAAGATGTATGATGAATTCCTTAGCAAAGTCTCTATTTTAGGTAAGTATCAGTTAAATGTCAATCATTTTTAGGACATGTTTGTCAGAGTTAGAATGACCCTAAATCAATGTCCTGTTGCAAAGTCAAAGGTGACATGCCGAATTCAAGTCAAGTGACTTGTACAGCAGATTGTAAGGAATATGAAATTATACATAACAGTATAAAACTGTTTTGATATCATAGACGTACTTCACTTAAAACAATATATTAATGTTTTCATGTGAACTTTGCACTGTTGCCAAATATTGATAGTCTTATCTTGTGAAATATATAATGATCAACAGAAAGCCATCAGATATTATCTACATATACCTGTTATGTCTGATTACTGAACCAGGTGACAGGGATCATTTCCTAGTCTGTGTCTAGTCTACCTAAACAAGAAACATAAAAAAAAACGATGATTTCTCCTAAACACATGTATAAAGCCATTTGGAAGGAAGAGGCTACTAGCACCATCCACTGGCAGTTTTTTCATTACTTCCACTCTACACTTTTTCATGCCAACTTTTCACTATATCAGTCTCTTTGACCACCTAAAACAAAATGCACATTCATGTTTAGGAAGCAATCCTTGTGTAAGCCTATCATATGATGTTCGTTTTTAGATATCAATTATCCTCAGAAACTTGGTCATAGTGTGATGTACTACAGAGACAGGTGAAAAATTTCTTTGATCAGTGAATTTTTTAGCTGGCAAAGAGCATTTATCCATCAGGGTTGATTGAGAACAAGGGAGATTGGTGGACCTGTATTGAACCACCTTTGAGAAATAGTGTGTCTACAGATAGCTAATGATGTGATTTAAGAGCGAGTGAGGAAAGGCTGTTTCTGTATCACACCTGAAATCACCTAACTGAAAGTTTAATCAATACATTAGCATTAAAGTGTGTCTTCTTATCTTGCTGGTTGATGTCAGCTTTATCATGACAGACTTAACTCGGCCCTACAGAGCCTTGTTACAGTCAGTGATGGCAGCTTTATCATGACAGACTTAACTCGGTCCTACAGAGCCTTGTTACAGTCAGTGATGTCAGCTTTATCATGACAGACTTAACTTGGCCCTACAGAGCCTTGTTACAGTCAGTGATGTCAGCTTTACCATTACAGACTTAACTATGCCCTACAGAGCCTTGTTACAGTCAGTGATGTCAGCTTTATCATGACAGACTTAACTTGGCCCTACAGACTTGTTACAGTCAGTGATGTCAGCTTTATCATGACAGACTTAACTTGGCCCTACAGAGCCTTGTTACAGTCAGTGATGTCAGCTTTATCATGACAGAGAACTACTAGGCCCTACAGAGCCTTGTTACAGTCAGTGATGTCAGCTTTATCATGACAGAGAACTACTAGGCCCTACAGAGCCTTGTTACAGTCAGTGATGGCAGCTTTATCATGACAGATTTAACTTGGCCCTACAGAGCCTTGTTACAGTCAGTGATGTCAGCTTTATCATGACAGACTTAACTTGGCCCTACAGAGCCTTGTTACAGTCAGTGATGTCAGCTTTACCATTACAGACTTAACTATGCCCTACAGAGCCTTGTTACAGTCAGTGATGTCAGCTTTATCATGACAGACTTAACTTGGCCCTACAGCCTTGCTACAGTCAGTGATGTCAGCTTTATCATGACAGACTTAACTTGGCCCTACAGAGCCTTGTTACAGTCAGTGATGTCAGCTTTATCATGACAGAGAACTACTAGGCCCTACAGAGCCTTGTTACAGTCAGTGATGGCAGCTTTATCATGACAGAGAACTACTTGGCCCTACAGAGCCTTGTTACAGTCAGTGATGTCAGGTTTATCATGACAGACTTAACTTGGCCCTACAGAGCCTTGTTACAGTCAGTGATGTCAGCTTTATCATGACAGACTTAACTTGGCCCTACAGAGCCTTGTTACAGTCAGTGATGTCAGCTTTATCATGACAGACTTAACTTGGCCCTACAGAGCCTTGTTACAGTCAGTGATGTCAGCTTTATCATGACAGACTTAACTTGGCCCTACAGAGCCTTGTTACAGTCAGTGATGTCAGCTTTATCATGACAGACTTAACTTGGCCCTACAGAGCCTTGTTACAGTCAGTGATGTCAGCTTTATCATGACAGAGACCTACTTGGCCCAATGTATCTATGATACTCTAGCCCACCTATGATACTCTAGAACTACAGTGACAAACTGAACTCACCTATGATGCTCTAGAACTACAGTGACAAACTGAACTCACCTTTGATACTCTAGAACTACAGTGACAAACTGAACTCACCTATGATACTCTAGAACTACAGTGACAAACTGAACTCACCTATGATGCTCTAGAACTACAGTGACAAACTGAACTCACCTTTGATACTCTAGAACTACAGTGACAAACTGAACTCACCTATGATGCTCTAGAACTACAGTGACAAACTGAACTCACCTTTGATGCTCTAGAACTACAGTGACAAACTGAACTCACCTTTGATACTCTAGAACTACAGTGACAAACTGAACTCACCTATAATGCTCTAGAACTACAGTGACAAACTGAACTCACCTTTGATACACTAGAACTACAGTGACAAACTGAACTCACCTTTGATACTCTAGAACTACAGTGACAAACTGAACTCACCTATGACACTCTAGAACTACAGTGACAAACTGAACTCACCTATGACACTCTAGAACTACAGTGACAAACTGAACTCACCTATGATGCTCTAGAACTACAGTGACAAACTGAACACACCTATGATACACTAGAACTACAGTGACAAACTGAACTCACCTTTGATACTCTAGAACTACAGTGACAAACTGAACTCACCTTTGATACTCTAGAACTACAGTGACAAACTGAACTCACCTATGATACTCTAGAACTACAGTGACAAACTGAATTCATCTTCTACAAAACTATGATTTCTAGATTGAACAAAATCTGTTTCATTATAAACAGCCAGATTAAACTACTTGGGCCATTCTTAATAGGATTAAGTGCATCCTTATTTCGTCAGATACAATTTTCACCGAGGGTTTCTTTAGATTTCTTTGTAAGACATTTTTTCGGGAAAAAGGACAGGTAGAGTTGATTTTGTCTGTACTTATGCAACTATAAACTAAGGAAAATCATTTTGAATTTTGTAACAACTCCACCATGCTTTATGTTTACATTATACATGATCAGATCTACCAAGCTTTATCATAACTCATTACACTTTGATACCTAATTTACTCCTATTTTTGATGCAGAAAACCTAGACAAATGGGAGCGTCTGACGGTGGCAGATTCACTGGAGCCTGTAGAGTTTGAGGATGGCCAGGAAATAGTTAGACAGGGAGAACCTGGTGAAGACTTCTTCATTATAACAGAGGTAAGCTGTCCTAGTTATCTCCCCTGTACTTGATCAAAGACGAGTTACCTCCCTTGTGCTGAGAAATTCATGTATCAAGCTTGCTCCAGCCCACATTCTGTTGTGGAATTCACTTGCATGCACATCTTGATATATCTTCTTTATTTTTTGAATGTTTTTATTTTAAAGTCACTTTTGTGTTTTGCCTTGAAGCTCTCACATTGTGTTTGTACCCTATGAAACAACTTCAAAACATCAGATTACTTATATAACAACTTAATCTATTTTACACCTATAAAGTCATTTTCACAGTCAGGTTACACTCTGATTTTGTCGAAACCCTCCTCAATACTTATAATCTTATTTATACCAACAGAACACTTCAGATTTATTGATACCCTATCCCTACCAACGTATAGTTGTAATTAATAACCTAGAGACATATAGAGCTGGGTAGAATTTGTTTATTATGTTGTACCTCCAAGTCAGTGAGAACTATGTTATTATACCCTGTTCTTAGAATGATGAAGTTAACTGGAATACCAGGACAATTTCAGTACAATCATGGTCTCAATGTTTTATACTGATGTTTCAGGGCCAAGCAGCTGTGCTTCAGCGGAGAGCAGAGAATGAGGAGGCGGTAGAAGTTGGCCGACTGGCACAGTCAGATTATTTCGGTATGAAGATCTTATAAAGTAGTATAACAACTGATAGAGATAGGCCAAAGATTGCCATGTAATGTTCATTGTAAAACCACCTCAAAGTAGACAGAAATATCACATGAAATGATGATACTGGTCACAGGTGAATGCCATCTTGGTTTCTACCAGATATACATTTTAGTTTGAGGAATTGCGGATAGTGATGTGATATGCTTATATCTAGAAAGTTAACGTAGATCAGAAGCCACAAGATATCCCGCCATTCATGGGGTACAGCTGGATATCCTGCAGGATGGGCCCTAAAGGAGAAGTTTTAAAATCCTACTACTCTTGTAGGAATGAATAAATATTTTCCAAATTTAGTCTGAAGTATTCTTGGGTGAAGTGTTATCAGTTGTGTATAGACATTGGATTCTGTTCCCTAACGGTGGGAGGATGGGTCCTATTGGGAAAATAGAGCAAATTCCTTGAAATACTACTCCTCTATTAGGAATAATGAGATATCTTCTAAATTTCTTCAGAAGTATGCTTCGATAAAAGGGGAACAAAGTTTGTATAAGGATTGGTTCTCAGACCCGAGGGCCCTTAGGGGAGGGGCCCAAAAAGAGAATTTTGGAAGTTCTTTAAAAATCTTACTCCACTTATAGGAACGGACTGTTCTATATAAACAGTGCACCCCAGCCCCCTGGGCCCAATAGGTGAAATGGGAGGGGTGGGACCAATAGGGGTAACGGAAGAATCTGACCTGTGTTTGACCACAAGAGTGAGGCCCAATTGGGAAGTTATATCAGAAATTGTTTGTCATATTTGAAACTCTTTGAGCGATGCGGGCCAACTGTTTAAAAAAAATTATTATGTGTTCATACTACCTGTTTATTCAGACTAACCAGAGGTTTAACATAGTTTTGTGCTGTTGCAAGTATGCATTGGATCAGAGGTCAAGGGTCAGTTTTGGATCACTTAAGATATTAAACATTTTGTCATGAAATATGTTATTTATTTTTGTGTCTTTTCAATGTTTAATAGTAAGACATTTGTCAGAATATCATGTAGATTTGGATTTCTAGGCATTATCAGCTGACCAAACGTGTGGCGTAACACTTTTGACATAAAAAATCGTATCCAGCCGGTTTTGATTAACCTCATCTCTACAGTCAGACACATTGCATCATATCTTGTTATTTTGCAGTTAACTTTATATCTAATATGTCCACTATCATTTTGAAAGTCAAAGTGAAACTTATTTCCTTCATATCTATTGAGTCTGTTTCATGAAATAAATGAAAATGTAGCTGTGGTGTTTGATGATTTATCTGCTCAACTTCTCAATCAATAAATAATTTTAATTTTTTTTTCTTACTGAAAATAAGTATAAAACTTTTTGTTCACAGGTGAGATTGCTTTGCTGCTGGACAGACCACGTGCTGCTACCGTTGTGGCACGAGGAAAGCTTAAATGTGTCAAGCTTGACCGCACACGATTTGAGCGTGTGTTAGGACCATGTTCAGACCTCCTCAAGAGAAATGTATCACAATACAACAGTTTTGTGTCCTTGTCAGTGTGAACTAGCCTACTATCTGTTTACCAATATTGACAAAAAAAAAAAACAAAAAAAAATGTTAAAATAAAAACCACCAGACTGTAACCACAATGTTGGGTAGCAGATGCAGGATTGGAGCTGCAGACGTCAAACACCTCAGTATCATCATCTGGAAATCTATCATTGCCTCACAAAGACAGATTTATGGCAAAATTGAGTCAGAAATTGGAAATAATGATAATAGAAATATTTTCCTAATAGCTGATTTATAAACATGTGGTACTGATTGTTGGTAAGAGATGGGTAGTATCACTTGTCTTATTGTCTCACCGTGCTGCCAGGAACTTGTGTTTGTGATAACATGTTGTTGCGAGATGAATTCTTACAAGTGGGTTAAATTGATGGTGGCTTTTCTTGTTCTCTGACTAACAGTTTTGCAGCAAAATGTTTCTTGTGCTTCAAGAGGGCAGTAGGGTTGTTATTATTTATAAGTTATCCTTTATCTGGAGGCCACATAAAACATTCTCTCACCATGGAAACTGCTGATCTCAGAATTGTATACTGTAAAGTGCTGATACAACAAATACTCTAAAGTGTAAGTTTTATCCATGAATGTATTAGGTTACACTGTATGAATACATTGTGTACTTATGTATACAACACTGTCTAATGGCTGTATTTAACATCCTTAACCAGATGGTTCAGTTGATTATAGTGTCTACCTAAGTTTGGAGGTCTGTAGTTCCAGTGGTGGGAAGTGCAGGGTTTCAGTGATGGGAAGTTGGGTATTCAATGATAGGAGGTAAGGGAATACAGTGATGGGAGGTCAGGGGATACTGCTATGGGAAGTTCAGGGATTCATTGATGAGAGATCAGGGGATTCAGTTATGGGAAGTTCAGGGATTCAGTGATGGGAGGTCAGGGGATACAGCTATTTGAAGTTCAGGGATTCAGTGATGGGAGGTCAGGGGATACAGCTATGGGAAGTTCAGGGATTCAGAGATGGGAGGTCAGGGGATACAGCTATTTGAAGTTCAGGGATTCAGTGATGGGAGGTCAGGGGATACAGCTATGGGAAGTTCAGGGATTTAGTGATGGGAGGTCAGGGGATACAGCTATGGGAAGTTCGGGGATTTAGTGATGGGAGAACAGGGGATACAGCTATTGGAAGTTCAGGGATTTAGTGATGGGAGGTCAGGGGATACAGCTATGGGAAGTTCAGGGATTCAGAGATGGGAGGTCAGGGATTCAGAGATGGGAGGTCAGGGGATACAGTGATGGGAGGTCAGGGGATACAGCTATTGGAAGTTCAGGGATTCAGAGATGGGAGGTCAGGGGATACAGTGATGGGAGGTCAGGGATTCAGAGATGGGAGGTCTGGGATTCAGAGATGGGAGGTCAGGGATTCAGAGATGAGAGGTCAGGGGATACAGTGATGGGAGGTCAGGGGATTCAGAGATGGGAGGTCAGGGGATTCAGTGATTGGAATTCTGGGGATTCATTGATGGGAGGTCAGGGGATTCAGTTATGGGAATTGCGGGGATTCATTGATGGGAGGTCAGGGGATTCAGTTATGGGAAATCCAGGAATCTGAGTAGGTAAGTTTGTTTACCGAAAGTTAGGAAGTCCATGGTTCCAAGGATGAATGGACTGGGGATCCAACTGTGTTCTGTCCATAAAGATACGTAATAAAGGGGATGATATACAGCAATTAAAATACATTAGGTAAGAGAGACACTGATATTTTGGATACAAATTTATAGTGCACTGTGATTGAATTTCACTAATACCGTCTAAATACATAAATGATTGACTTTGAAACACTCGAAGTACAAATACACCAATACATTTAGATATAGTGTTAAAACACACTGGAAATACACTGAGATTTTACATACAAAGGATATTGTAGATACAATGTGGATCTGTTATTACACTGTGACATAATACTTTCAACGTTAACATATATGTATACACTAGTGCATTATACTGGAGTTAGGACAAATTGCCAATTCACACAACCTATCGTTGGTATTGATTAGACACAAGTCGTGATAAAATATGTATATTATGGTTAATGCTTAAACAAATTTGGCAGAGGAGAGTTTTTTTGTGAGCAGCTGATGTGCAAAGGAGGCTGTTTGTATGTCTGTATCATTATATAGATGTATTTAGGATTGTTGTATGTAGGTAGAAACACACTGTTGTTTGCGCTCTGTCGTTGTAGTTAAACAACAATATATTTATTTTCCAATAAGTAGTTGATGATCTCCGTTGCGGGACTGTATATCAATTCATTCTACTGCTGATTACTCTATAGGTGACTGGCTGGCCAGTGACTTTTTTGGTAGATATCCAGAACTTATCACATCGCTCAACAGTTAGAAGCACATCACCAATTTTAAATTCCATTCTGTAATTTCAATTATCTGCTAATTCAATTTCTTTAGCAACATTTAGGTCATTGTTTGTTCATTCGAGCATATCATAGTAAAGATAAGAACTATTTTTGTGAATTTACTGTGTATTAACTATATGTACAGGTGTTGATTGAAGTGCACTTGTTCTCATATGTATTGGAAGTACAATAAACAGTTTTATGGGGCCTGATACTAGATAATGGAGAACCCCACACAGGGATCTTCAATTTACCCAGTGCTAGATCTCAGTCTACCAACTACACAACACTATAGTGTATTCTTCCTTTTGCTAAAACAATGAACAACTTGCATTTGAGATTTTTTTTTTTGTGAAAGTAATTAGTGAGAACTATACACATGTAATGTTAACTGTTAGCATGTGCAGTCAAGATGTCTTTTTCCAAGACTACACAGTTACAAATTATAGGGGAGTTGAATTTTTGTCCACTTGTGAGGTGCAATGAAATAACCCATTGTCATGTACCTGTTTGATGATGGTTTCATTCTGGGCTTAGTGTACTATCCCAACCTTGTGACTGGGTGGGATTATGTTGTTCAGCCCTTGTCTGAAATAATATCCAATCTCACCCAGTTGTAGGTAATGAATTGATCAGGCAGATAAATATCCTATTTAGCATTGTATTTGTTCAGTCAGTAGAAAGATCTGTACACTTAAGAAGCATAGCAGAGGTTATCCTCTAAATTTCCTTGAATCTGAAATCTGAGTGATTGGAAATATTTGTGATGTTTTAATAAAATGTGTATCGATTTTGTAAGGAAAACAAATGTTTGATGTAATTGCTTTGTAGAGTTATAAAAAAACCATGACGGCAGTTGACAGTCCTACAAAAACAAATGTATTTCTGATGTAACGTTGTGTTTAATAATCAGCAGCGTTTTTATTGCCTTGTAATTGGTCTGTTTCTATAGCAATTTATGGTCAAGATCAATCGGTCATATCTGTTTTTTTTTTTTGTTATTGGACATAAACAGTACTTTGTGGTTGTTTTATCAGGCACGTGTTGTCATGATCTCCAGGTGCAGAGAACTGGAATGCTGCCATAATGATAGAGTCACAAACCACAGGTAGTCAGGTGGATCTCTTATTGTTATGTGTTACACTGTAGTTTCTGCAGCCATAGACAAGCACTAATTATGTTGATTTTCAGCTTCAAGGAAATCCACCAACTCCTATCAGAAAGATAATATCGTAACTATTTACATGATTTAAAGATTTAAAAGCACAAATACATTTTGTGGTGGTAGGGGCAAAAAAAAAAAAACAAGTCTATCTGCGATGATATTATAACTATCTAGATGATTTAAAAGCCTAGATACATTTTGTGGTGGTAGGGCAAATACAAAGCAAATCAATGTAGTTAAATGTAAGATGTGTGATGGATCTGCTACAGAGTTAAACAATCAATTAGCAAAATAAATGTTGGATACTTTAAAGAGATGATACATTGATTCTGAAACTTGAGGATTCTTCAGAATCATCAGATAGGGAACCATACAGTCACTGCCAAGAGGTGAAACAATACACCTGTCAACCCTGTTCTACATTCTTACAACTTGTGTATGTTGTTGTAATATGGCCAGAAGTTTTAGTCTAATATAATTTAGTAGAACTATTTATGTAAAAAATTTCTCATGTAAAAAAAAGCTACAATAGCAGTGTGTAATAGTGTGTACAGATATAATATAATTATTTCAAATGTAAGATACTAATATATATACAAAAAAATGTCATTATATAGCAATATGAACAATGATGAAATGGAGGTTCGCTTGTAGAAATCTTTTCATTTTTTGTTGTTCATATGTAAAAAAAAAAAAAATGTTTTATGAAATAAAAAAAATGTCTAAATTGTCCACTTGGTTGTGATTTCTTTCGATTTCATTAGATAATTATATCATCATGATATTGAATTAACCTTTCACATTGGGACCACTGTGACTTGGCCTCTTTTGAGGCATAAAAACCTGACAAATTATTTTAACTGGGTTATTTTACCTTATAGCAATGTGAAATGTGACTAAACTAATATTTTTACATGCTACTAGATAAGCCATGCGACATCCATAACCTGTAACGATGTCATATGGAAGTGATGAGATATCCTGGTGTTGATAATGATGTCACATGGAAGTGATGAGATATCCTGGTGTTGATAATAACATCACATGGAAGTGATGAGATATCCTGGTGTTGATGATGACGTCACATGGAAGTGATGAGATATCCTGGTGTTGATAATGACATCACATGGAAGTGATGAGATATCCTGGTGTTGAAAATGATGTCACATGGAAGTGATGAGATATCCTAGTGTTGATAATAACATCACATGGAAGTGATGAGATATCCTGGTGTTGATGATGACGTCACATGGAAGTGATGAGTTATCCTGGTGTTGATAATGACATCACATGGAAGTGATGAGTTATCCTGGTGTTGATAATGACATCACATGGAAGTGATGAGATATCCTAGTGTTGATAATGATGTCACATGGAAGTGATGAGATATCCTGGTGTTGATAATGATGTCACATGGAAGTGATGAGATATCCTAGTGTTGATAATGACCTGTAATGATGTCACATGGAAGTGATGAGATATCCTGGTGTTGATAATAACATCACATGGAAGTGATGAGATATCCTGGTGTTGATAATGACATCACATGGAAGTGATGAGATATCCTGGTGTTGATAATGACATCACATGGAAGTGATGAGTTATCCTGGTGTTGATAATGACATCACATGGAAGTGATGAGATATCCTGGTGTTGATAATGATGTCACATGGAAGTGATGAGATATCCTGGTGTTGATAATGACATCACATGGAAGTGATGAGATATCCTGGTGTTGATGATGATGTCACATGGAAGTGATGAGATATCCTGGTGTTGATAATGACCTGTAATGATGTCACATGGAAGTGATGAGATATCCTGGTGTTGATAATGATGTCACATGGAAGTGATGAGATATCCTAGTGTTGATAATGACCTGTAATGATGTCACATGGACGTGATGAGATATCCTGGTGTTGATAATAACATCACATGGAAGTGATGAGATATCCTGGTGTTGATAATGACATCACATGGAAGTGATGAGATATCCTGGTGTTGATAATGACCTGTAACGATGTCACATGGAAGTGATGAGATATCCTGGTGTTGATAATGACGTCACATGGAAGTGATGAGATATCCTGGTGTTGATAATGACATCACATGGAAGTGATGAGATATCCTGGTGTTGATAATGACGTCACACGGAAGTGATGAGATATCCTGGTGTTGATAATAACATCACATGGAAGTGATGAGATATCCTGGTGTTGATAATGACATCACATGGAAGTGATGAGATATCCTGGTGTTGATAATGACCTGTAATGATGTCACACGGACGTGATGAGATATCCTGGTGTTGATAATAACATCACATGGAAGTGATGAGATATCCTGGTGTTGATAATGACCTGTAATGATGTCACATGGAAGTGATGAGATATCCTGGTGTTGATAATAACATCACATGGAAGTGATGAGATATCCTGGTGTTGATAATGACATCACATGGAAGTGATGAGATATCCTGGTGTTGATAATGATGTCACATGGAAGTGATGAGATATCCTGGTGTTGTTAATGACATCACATGGAAGTGATGAGATATCCTGGTGTTGATAATGACCTGTAACGATGTCACATGGAAGTGATGAGATATCCTGGTGTTGATAATGACATCACATGGAAGTGATGAGATATCCTGGTGTTGATAATGACATCACATGGAAGTGATGAGATATCCTGGTGTTGATAATGATGTCACATGGAAGTGATGAGATATCCTGGTGTTGATAACGACATCAATGATGGAAGTGATGAGATATCCTGGTGTTGAAAATGACATCACATGGAAGTGATGAGATATCCTGGTGTTGATAATGATGTCACATGGAAGTGATGAGATATCCTGGTGTTGATGACCTGTAATGATGTCACATGGAAGTGATGAGATATCCTGGTGTTGATAATGACATCACATGGAAGTGATGAGATATCCTGGTGTTGATCACATGGAAGTGATGAGATATCCTGGTGTTGATAATGACCACATGGAATGATGTATCACACATGGACGTGATGAGATATCCTGGTGTTGATAATGACATCACATGGAAGTGATGAGATATCCTGGTGTTGATAATGATGTCACATGGAAGTGATGATATCGTGGTGTTGATAATGACATCACATGGAAGTGATGAGATATCCTGGTGTTGATAATGACACACATGGAAGTGATGAGATATCCTGGTGTTGATAATGACATCACATGGAAGTGATGAGTTATCACATCACATGGAAGTGATGAGATATCCTGGTGTTGATAATGACATCACATGGAAGTGATGAGATATCCTGGTGTTGATAATGACGTGATGAGAATGACGTCACATGGAAGTGATGAGATATCCTGGTGTTGTTAATGACATCACATGGAAGTGATGAGATATCCTGGTGTTGATAATGACATCACATGGAAGTGATGAGATATCCTGGTGTTGATAATGATGTCACATGGAAGTGATGATATCCTGGTGTTGATAATGATGTCACATGGAAGTGATGAGATATCCTGGTGTTGAAAATGACCTGTAATGATGTCACACGGACGTGATGAGATATCCTAGTATTGATAATGACATCTGACATCACATGGAAGTGATGAGATATCCTGGTGTTGATAATGACCTGTAATGATGTCACATGGACGTGATGAGATATCCTGGTGTTGATAATGACATCACATGGAAGTGATGAGATATCCTGGTGTTGATAATGACCTGTAATGATGTCACATGGACGTGATGAGATATCCTGGTGTTGATAATGACATCACATGGAAGTGATGAGATATCCTGGTGTTGATAACGATGCCACATGGAAGTGATGATATCCTGGTGTTGATAATAACATCACATGGAAGTGATGAGATATCCTGGTGTTGATAATGACATCACATGGAAGTGATGAGATATCCTGGTGTTGATAATGACATCACATGGAAGTGATGAGTTATATCCTGGTGTTGATAATGACATGATGTCACATGGAAGTGATGAGATATCCTGGTGTTGATAATGACATCACATGGAAGTGATGAGATATCCTGGTGTTGATAATGACATCACATGGAAGTGATGAGATATCCTGGTGTTGATAATAACATCACATGGACGTGATGAGATATCCTAGTGTTGATAATAACGTCACATGGAAGTGATGAGATATCCTGGTGTTGATAATGACATCACATGGAAGTGATGAGATATCCTGGTGTTGATAATAACATCACATGGAAGTGATGAGATATCCTGGTGTTGATAACGATGCCACATGGAAGTGATGATATCCTGGTGTTGATAATAACATCACATGGAAGTGATGAGATATCCTGGTGTTGATAATGACCTGTAACGATGTCACATGGAAGTGATGAGATATCCTGGTGTTGATAATGACCTGTAACGATGTCACATGGAAGTGATGAGATATCCTGGCGTTGATAGCGACATCACATGGAAGTGATGAGTTATCCTGGTGTTGATAATGATGTCACATGGAAGTGATGAGATATCCTGGTGTTGATAATGACATCACATGGAAGTGATGAGATATCCTGGTGTTGATAATGACATCACATGGACGTGATGAGATATCCTGGTGTTGATAATGACATCACATGGAAGTGATGAGATATCCTGGAGTTGATAATGACATCACATGGAAGTGATGAGATATCCTGGTGTTGATAATAACATCACATGGACGTGATGAGATATCCTAGTGTTGATAATAACATCACATGGAAGTGATGAGATATCCTGGTGTTGATAATAACATCACATGGACGTGATGAGATATCCTAGTGTTGATAATGACGTCACATGGAAGTGATGAGATATCCTGGTGTTGATAATGACATCACATGGAAGTGATGAGATATCCTGGTGTTGATAATGATGTCACATGGAAGTGATGAGATATCCTGGTGTTGATAATGATGTCACATGGAAGTGATGAGATATCCTGGTGTTGATAATGACATCACATGGAAGTGATGAGATATCCTGGTGTTGATAATGACATCACATGGACGTGATGAGATATCCTGGTGTTGATAATGACATCACATGGAAGTGATGAGATATCCTGGTGTTGATAATGATCATTAATGATGTCATATGGAAGTGATGAAATATGATTTTGTTTGTGTGTCAGGTACAGAGGCTGATGAAATTGATATATAACTCTCTTTGGCTGTCTAACTGGTACAAAGGAAGGTCACATTGGGTCTCTTACACTTCTTGTAAGGCTGTCAGTAACTGGTACAGGGGCTGATGACATTTAAATATATTATTTTGTTTGTTTGTCTATACCTGGTACAATGGCCGATTAAGTTGATATATAACTCTCTTTGTTTAGCTGTCTAACTGGTACAAATGAAGGTCACATTTGGTCTCTTACACTTCTTGTAAGGCTGTCAGTAACTGTTACTCTCTATACCAGTTAAAGACATCCTTACAAGAAAAAGGTTGAGAGACCAATGTCATAAGCCTCTACCAGTAAAAGACAGCTATGGAATGTGGAGGATGCTACCTATCTCAGGGTCAATGCCTTAATTGTCACTTATCCGATTTAAAGTTTCTACATTTTTACCAGTGTATGATTCCCTTTTCTCTTATCCCGGACAGGGATATCCACAGTTTTTACCGGTGTGAGATTTTTCTGTCTCACCTTAAGGTTGAGACAAGCTACACGCGCTCCTTGCAATAATGTGAC